TTTCAAAAAAATATTTTGCTGCATTTGTTACATTTGATAAAGCTGTGGCAGGGCTTGAAAAAAGAATCCTGTCAATTAGTTGGTACAAGCAGTTTTTCCAACCAAGCAAAATTTTTTTTGCTCACTGGCCCAGTGGGAAAGGATGCAGGAAAGTTGTCTTCCAAATAAAAAGCAAACTTAGACTAGCCCGAAATTCAAAATTTTTTTCCAGCTCCACTATAAAGGCCCCAGATGAAAGCATCAATTACTTATAACTGAATTACACAATCCATTACCTTCCTTTATCATCCAGTGAATTTGGATCCAAGTCTTCTAACGGACCAGATTTCAAAGGAGATTTTGTGGCCTTTAAGATCTAGTTGTTGAACAACAAAAAGCACAAAGAAACATAAATGCCCGCAAAGGAAATCCCAAAACAGTATTCACTGGACAAGGAATCTTTTACGATAATAAAAGTATTATTGAGAACAAACTCTTCATCTTTCTACATGTACAAAAATAATACAGCAGTGAACTCAGGTCCCAGTTGTTCAAAATTAGGACCAGCACTATCCATGTTGGATAAATTACTACCCAAAGGAAGAGTAGGGAAATAATTAACATTGGAGGAGGTTAAGCAAATATTGTGATTTGTCAGTGGTGAGCAGATCAACTTAAATTATTTGCAGAAGCCGAAGGCTGAGGGAAATAATTGAGCTGTGAGACAGTGACAAATCACAATATTTTGTGATAACCGAGTTCAATAATTGCTTTATCATTCGATCACCAAGTTTGTTTTTTAATGAATACCCTCGGGAAGCTAAGTGATCTACCATTTTTCACGCAAGAGTGATTGCAAGAAGGAAGAAAAGTGTGGTTTTGTTTATAGATGAGCAGAATATTATTTGCAGCCAAACACAGTTGCATGACATTGCTCATGAGCAGACTGTTATTTGTAGGCAGTTATTTGCAGGTCACATGTTGGGCTTTCGGCCAATGAAAAGGAGGAAAAATTTGCATCAAATAATAAAAGAAATGATTGGCTTATCCAGTGGATAGCTCTATCTACAGAGTACCTTTTGCACAACTGGAGCATAAAATCCATAGCAAATAATCTTAATATTAGTAAACTGATTTGTTGACTTACCGAAGATCTGCGGTTTGATGACTTTCTTTTACCACCAACTGTGATCCTGTTGTCACATATAAATGTTAACGATTTATCAATAAAATAGACATTTGAATTGCAAACGGCTAAATATCTGGCCCAAATTTCATTTCATAGGAACTTTTAGGACAATGCTTTGTTCTAAATGAAAGTAGAAAGTGGTACAGTATTTCCAAATGTTAACTGCACACATAAGCTTAAGCTTAATTATAGAAGTTTAATGAATGAATTTGCAAAATAGCCAAGTTGAGCCGTAGCATCTCTATTAAAAAATTACCACTTGAAACATAGACTTTCAAAAAGTCCTTTAAAGTCTACTAGAAAGAATAAAGTTAGTATCCTGCCATCGGAAGCCATTTTACGTCGGTAAACTTTCCCATGGAGATAAAATAACTTTTGTAAGCTGAAGCCTTTTGCATGTACACACCATTGTTGTATGTTGTAAAGGTCATCTCAGTACCAAACTTACCTATTTTCAGAATCGTCAACCACCTCCATGTTAACACCTCATAGAAACGGCATCAGAGAGTCAAAATTTGAAGAAAAAAATACCAAATACCAAAACTAGCGAGGAAAAACAATTAAATTGTTTCTACGAATTTTTATCAACGGTCAAACAACAGAAACTCAAACTTCCGCGCCAAGATGCGAGACGCGACTCAAGCGCATTGTCTCTAAGAAAAATCCGCAGGTCAAAATGTTGCAACTCAACTTAGTCTCCAGGCCCTATGCACAAATTAGCATTCAATATGGCGGACAATCCTTGTATTTTGGTGAAAAGATTCGACTCCGATCTAAGCTGTTGTGGCATTGTTTTAGATAGCGAGAATGGCATTGTATTAACAGTTGCATCTTTGTTTACTGATTTATTGCCTAAAATTGAAACCCAACCTTCATTTTCCAAGCACTGGCGTGTACTTTTTCAAGATGATTTTGGGACGCCCCGCGGGACGTCGCGAAAAGGTGAAATTGCAGTTGAAGTTGTGTTGCGAAGGCACAATCAGGAAAAATTTCAAACGCTTCAAGGTTTCCTGGTGTTATTTTGGAGAGATGTGGGGCTACAAAAGATCGCAGAACGTATTTTTCCGTCTTCGGAGTGGAAATTCGAATCATTGAACCCCGTTAGTAGTGAACTGAAACAACCACATTTGACTGAAGGAAACGCGCAGCAACAACAGAACGAAGTCTTTGCACATCAAAGTGCTCTGTGCGATTTTGTTCTAATTTATGTGAAGGATCTTGCGAAGCATTTGTCCTGTAAACCTCTGGTCATACGGCCTAATTATGCACGTCCAAAGAGAGGTGAGCCTGTGTTTGTTGTAGGTACCCCGTTTGGATGTGAGTGTCCTGTGGTATTCTACAATAGTGTTTCTAAAGGTATAGTGTCAAATTTAGCAGGAGCTAACAATGAAGTAATAATCACTGACGCACGATGCATTCCAGGCTGTGAAGGATGTACAATGTATCTAAACAGTACACAATCTTCGCCATCTGTAGAAAATGGCAAAAGACCATATGGAATTATTTTGGCACCATTCTGTTGGAGAAATGGGGAATGGATTGGAATCACTGTGGCGTGTTCATTAGACTACCTTCTGGACAATTTGGGAAAACTTTTGGGTACTAAATTTGCTGTGATGCCCAAAAATCTTGCGGGACTCTCAAGAGATTTTATTCTCCAAGAGAACATGTGCTATGATGTAGCAGAGGTGGAAAAGAAAGACATGAATTATTCATCTACACTACGGTCCAGTGCAGGTAGTTTGAATGCCGGTGATATTATTCATGCAGCACTTGATGGTGTTGTTAGAGTACAGTGTGGTAGCACATGGGGTTCTGGGATTGTTTTAGATGCAGATGAAGGTCTCATAGCAACATGTAGTCATGTGATTTCTGGATACCAAAGCCATAACAGAGCCAATAACAGCAACAATACTCAACATTCAAGCAGTACCACCCCAAGCCTTGTATCATGCATGTCATCTAGTGGCATCTATCACAATGCACAAATTGTTTATGCTACAAAGGAAGGCTTTCCACTAGATTTTGCAGTTCTAAGAATCCAACCAAGTACTTTGTTGAGATCTTTTAAGTCAAGAAGAATGGCAGGTATCCCTCAGAGCTCATCAGTTCCTTTGTATGAGAAAGGAGAAGGGGTGTATGTCATTGGTTTCCCTCTGTTTGCCAGCAATCAAAATGCCAAGCCATCAATTGTTTCTGGGGTGATATCAAACATAGCTTATGCTAACAGCCATCCTGTGTTACTGCAGTCTAGTGCTGCAGTGCATTGTGGGGCAAGTGGAGGGGCATTAGTTTCTATGGTGACAGGAGAACTGCTAGGAATGGTGACAAGTAATACAAAAGATGTCAATATGGCATCAGCCTTTCCCCATGTCAACTTTAGCATTCCCACTGATTTGTTACACAAGCTTGTTGTAGCCATCAAGAATGGAAGTAGTGTTGAAGAAGATCTGAAAACTCTTGTTTCAGATAGTGCAGCAAGTATTTGGAAATTAAACAGCATTGAACATGAAAACCCTAACATTATTAGTAAACTCTAACAAGTACAGATAATTATGGTTAGCTTCACGTCATTTTATTAACACCTTTTCATGGAACATTTTAATTCACCAATCAGAAAACAATCTGGCCTTCATAGAGGGTTTGGATCATTAAACATTTCTGGGAAACTGCCCACCTACCCTCCCCTAAGCCAACATTTTGCGCCAAGTAAGAAGTAAGCATTAATGTTGGCTTAGGGGAGGCGTAGGTGGGCAGTTTCCCAGAAACGTTAATGATCCAAAGGTTTTGTATGTGTATCAAACTGTAGATTAAGGTATGATTATGCATGTGATGCTTGAACATTAGGGTTCTATTAACCTGTTAATTAATACATGGACCTAATAAAAGGGCTCAAAAAAAGTCCCATCTGGTAGTCGTGGACAAGTAGATTTTCTTATTGGACAAGTGCCGTTAAAACATACTTGCCCAATGTGCAAGGGTCTGAGCAAGTCATCCTCTAACAAAATCACTAACGTAGACGAGCAAGAAGTAGCTCCGAGCAAGAAAAATGCGAGAGCTGCTTGCCCAATGGACAATTCAAGTTTTTTTTTGAGCCCTCAGGGGTTTCAATTAGCACCAACACCCAACGAAATGCGTCGGCTTCTTTACTCAGAGCAGTCGGCTACTTTTTTCTTCAAAAAGAAGCAACTAGTTTTAATAATGTCATAAACAAAAATAAATAATTATATCATAAAATCTGAATTAAACATTAGCTTAATGTTATTATATGCTTTCGAGGCCTACTGATATGTTATCAGTCATTTTTTCCCATGTTTTTTTGTGGGCTTATGCAGAATTTGTTTCTGTGCAAATGTACTTAATTTTGAATATTTACATTTGTTCATTGCTTGAAAGAATAATTGATTGTGTGGGTATGAAACCTGAATGAAAATATATTTTCTTTAATGAAAAACACGTTCTTCTGTTCTCACGTTAGTCCCCAGAACACTGGAAATCACAGTTTAAGGCTTTAAAATTCCAAAATTTTCTGGGTTAACATGCCCCCAGACCCCCCTAGAAGAAGAGAACTAATGGCCCCTTGTTGATACAGATGGTCAGTTACTCTATTCAAACCTGCTGGCTTATTCAATTATTATTGAAACTCCTGAGCCCTGAATAAGGATTCCTAAATTTCAAGAATTCTCAATCTAGCTCACTAGTCTTATAGTTGAGTGTTAGTTGCATTAATAAAGTATGTATGTATGTATGTATGTATTTGTCTTTTCCTAGTTTCTAGTTCTTTTGTGCTGCTTGTTCCAAATCCCCTTGTGAACTCCATTGTCACATGAGCACTTCTGTCAGATATAAAAAGGTAACTCTATGGTAAACTGATAGCACCTGAAAGCACCACCTACAGGCACTCTTTATTTGACACAACCAGCTGCCAGTTAGCTTTCGCAGACATCCCAAAGAACTCTTGATACCGACTCTTGACCCCACCAGCTGGGGTGAAGGAATGCAGAGCATACCCAAGCACACAAACATCTTTTTACAATGTGGTAGAAATGTACTACTCCACTGAACTGTGCAGCCAAGTCTGGCATTGTTAATATTTTTAACGGCCATCTACAGTGCATTAATTTGACTATTTCTCACCAAAGTACATAGAAAACAGTTCTTTCTTGTTAACTTTGCCCATTGCATTTCTTGGTAGCTCCTCTACCACAAGAAGAACTGTGGGAATCTGGTACGGAATCATACGTCCGCTGGCCCATTGTTTTAGGTCTGATAGGTTCATTTCCTGTGCAACAGACAAATGAGATAAAAGCATTAAATTAGTTTGACATGCCAGGGTCGGCACACACATGTCCTGTACAAAATAAAGATAATTAAAATACCATCATTTCTATCTTGCCTAGTCTGTGAATGGTATTCTTGCCAATTAGGATCCAAAGGCTTGTCAAACTTCAAGTATTTTATTACAGTCAAATGCTGTTAATACAGACACTGAGCGGGCCATAGGAAGTGTCCATATTAATGGGGTGTCTGTATTAAGTGGGTTGTATTTAAAGAATATGTAAGAGGCTTCTTTCCTCCCCAGGGACAAAGTAAACTGTCTGTAATAATGAGGTGTCCATAATGAGTGGGTGTCTAAAGCAGTGTTTGACTGTAATACAGTGTCTGTATTAAGTGGGTGTCCATAAAGCATTGTTTAATAATTGTATTTTGATGACAATGATGTAACAGACTAAATTAGGTCAAACTGTTTCATGACATAATCAAGGTCAGCAAAAGACAACAATTTGATGGAGATATTAACACAGACCAACATACCTTGCCACGGTGGAGTGTGACCACTGCTGCCACCACCTCACCCCACACAGGATCTGGTTTGCCCACTACAGCACAGTCTATGATGTCATCATGTGACAAAAGATGGCGCTCAACATCAAGGGCACTTGAAAAAAATGAAAATTTGTTGATAAAATACACAGTTATGAAAGGAAGTTAAGGTGCTTATCTGTAAAGAACAGTTTTTGTGATGTCTCTTACCTGATTTTATAGCCTCCACTCTTGATAATATCAACTGATGTCCTACCCAGTATGCGGTAAACACCATCTTCATAGACTTGAAAGGAAAAGTAAGATATTTTATTAAATAATAAGATAATATTGGTAAGATACTTATTGAATAATAACAGCTTATAAAGATAAAGTGAAATGATTGGTATCCTTTGCAAAGTTGTGCCTCATGTAGTTCCTGTGCTCTGATTAACTGCACATGCAGAAATAACATCAAAATCAAGTATACAAAATAACTAAATCATATTTACCGGCAGTGTCTCCTGTTTTAAACCAGCCATCTGTTGTAAATGACTCTTGCGTTTCTTTGGGTTTATTCCAGTAGCTAGTGAATAGAATACTCAAATTCACTATGTCAAATTTTCACATGTGATGATCAAGTTAGAATACAAAGTGTAAGATCTCATTATCGTTTTCAAAGGGCTGTTATTTTTTTTACAGCTGTGCACTCACCATTTAAACACTGATGGGCCACGTACTTGTAGTTCTCCCTGCTTTCCTTCATTGTCCGAAGACACATGAGAATCATTCTCATTTCCTTCAACCACAACCTGATAAAAGATGAAGGGAAAACCTCATCAGGTGTTCATTATTAATTCCCTTAGTTGACAAAACATAACTAAATAAATATATAAAATAGCTTACTACCATTGCTAAGTGGGTGGTTTAGTTTGGTAACCATCATTTGAACACTATCACACCTGCACCTACAAAGTTAACCCAGAGATTGCTAAGAACATCTAAAATACTAGCGATAATTACTCGCAAGAGAAATGAATCAAAATTTGAATCCCTACCTGTTTTCTTTCATCCATAATCCGAACTTCTGTCCCAGGCAGAGGTTTTCCTACACAACCCTGGAAAAACAATCAGTTGTCTGGTTATAATTTGGGTCTTACTTGTTTGTCAAAATAGAAATAAAAAAGAACCAGTCTCGTCCTCATAATCTACTTCTCATCATCCTTATCATCATCATCATCATCAACATCACCATCATTAGCATCATCATTCACATCATCATCGGACGAAGCTTCAATCACACATGGGACAGAAGGGCATTCCCAGTCTCCTATGTGGTCATTCACTGGGTTATCAATCAAAGTTCCTCTTAGCTAAGAATTTCACTACAACAGAAAAGACCTGTGTAGAAGTCTGAGGGACGAGATGTAAAGGTTAAAGTTTTGTAAGGCTCTGGAGACTGAATTGCTTTTAGGTTTTTTTTCTCAGCTCCTCTTTTTACTTGCTTGAATTGCAGGAAGTCTCAATAACAGGTTTCTAGGTTTGATGAAAGCTCAAGGTGAGATCTCGAACAAATGAGACGTACTGGCAATCTTGGTCCAAGGAGGGGATTGGATAATGCCATGCCTATCTCAGTCATTCCATATCTTTCCAATAAAGTATGCCCTAAAATTGAAGAAAAAAAATTAAGTAATGGCTTACCCTTTACATATTAAGACTGCACTAATTTTCTGAACAACAGAACTTAAAACCTGACATTTATGTTGTAGTTAATTTTTTATCTCAGGTAAATTTTATTTTTTCTTTTGTTTCAACTTCATTAGCATACATTATCATACCCAAAAATACAAGAAAAATAAAAATTACCTGATATAAAAAATTAACTACAACATTTACATAAAAATCATTTGCTTAAAAACATAATCATGTGGCTAAGGAATAAGCAATTTTGCCACAAATTGGAACAGGGTGCATATGTTACAGGTCAAAATTTAATTGAGGTTACAATTTTGTAAGCTAGGTTGATTCTCTACTTCCTTTTGTCTCCTAGCCCTAATTCATGAATAGTTAGGGACATTAGGGCTAGGAGACAAAGGAAATTGAGAATAAACCTAATAATAAACCTAATAATAATAAAAATTTAACCTGAATTTAATTTTGACCTGTAACACAGAGTGGCTGAGCAGTTAGAGCATTGGACTTGTAATTCGGAGGCCTCGAGTTCGAGTCTCACCCTGACCGCTAACTGGATTTGTTCACAGTAGTCCCGAGTTCAAATCCTCGGCCATGTTTATAAATAGCCAGCTGGTTTGCCTCCAGCCAGTTGGGATTCTTAACCCCGTTAAGTTTGATTTGAATTATTTGTTCCAGAAATTTGCTCAGCCCCACTAGCATATATAAATATGCCAAGGATAAACTGTTAAGTTTGATTTGAATTATTTGTTCCAGAAATTTGCTCAGCCCCACTAGCATATATAAATATGCCAAGGATAAACAAAGAACATTACTATAATTATCATCGTCACTATAATTGTTCTTATTGTTCTTCTTCTTCTTCTTATTATTACTATTATTATTTACATACCACCATGGAATAAAGACCATTTTGAATTCCATTGTTGGTATGGAAAGTAATGCACTTAAGGCAATGTACTGTTATAGTCAAGATTTAAATACTGTACAGTGCAACTTAATTTGATCCCAACCTGTTATTTCTTGCCATGTTTTCATAATAGGCTCTGGGAGCGCTGCTGAACCAGACACCATTAATCTTAAAGATGAAAGAAAGAAACAGGAAAAAAATTAAAAGAATGAAAAGGTGTAATTTATTTCTGATTTTTGTGACAGGATACTAAAAGTTGCCATGAAATAGACTCCAACTGGGAGAAGGGTAAGTGGCCGATATCAAATACAAAAATCTTCACTTCCAATTGAGTTCTCCTTATGGAGAACAGTGTGGAGAATTTGTGGTTTGATGCTACAGTAATGAGGGAAGTACTTACCTGAGTTGTTCACACTTATATTTTATTCTTTCTTTTTCCTGATCAGTAACTTGAGACTCTTGATGATGTTGAATTAGCTTGCTGTAAATTGTTGGAACTGCCATAAATAAAGTTGGACTAAGCTTTTCTGCCAAAAGAACATCCCACACCTAAACATAAAATGACCTCAATGACCTTAGGATGATAATTTATTTAATTAGAATACTAGACAAGGCACAGATTACGAGAACAGTTTGTGCCATTATAGTGGGTCTGAAAGTCCTTTCCCTAACAAAATCATGAGAAGACTGGCCATTCCACTAGTGTTAACATACCCCTAAATTTTTTTTGGAATAGCAGAGTGACTTTAATCTCCCCTTCTATGTGATAAGGAGGGATGGAGGAGACAAGGCCACCCTGAACATGGGGAGCATCATTTTAACAGTTTAACCCTTTAACCCCTAAGAGTGACAAATGTTTAATATCTCCTTACAGCAACACTGCTCATTCAAGCAAAAAGGTTGTAAGAAAAAAGAAAATGATCAACAAGTGAAACATGTCTAGTCTCCTTTGCGGCCATTTTTAGGGTCGTTATGCAACGGTCCTTGAGGAGCGTCGTGTGACAACCCTAAAAATGGCTGCAAAGGAGACAAAAAAATTCCCTTGATTGTTAAACAAATTCTCCTCAATAGTACCATTGGACATGTAACAAGAGCACTATGGAGAATATATATGCTGATACTAGGGATGGGGTTTGAACCTGAGAGCTCCCTCTCAGCTGATCTAAGTGACTACCACGAGAAAAAATTAATGGTAAACTCAGTTGTCATATTCAGAAAACAATGAATATTATTTACCTTGTCTGCTTGGAATTTTGGAAGCATGTGACAAGTTGCTCCTACCCACAGGGGACAGAGCAACACGTTGACTATTCCATGGATATGATGAAGGGTGAGACAGTGAATGATATAATCATCTTTACTCCATTCCCATGACTTTACTAGGGCACTGATTTGAGACCTGAACAAAGTAGAAAAAAATAATTATTATATAAACTGCAGTGTTTTACAAGGATTTCTACCACCGAGAAATGTGGTATCTGAACACACGTAAAAATACGATATTTTTACGTGTGAAGATATCGATAATTTCACTGACATCAGGTTTGTCTCTTAAATTGTACTTAAATTCGTTGGTGTATCATTGAAACATCTTTGGGTCTTCCTCGAAAGTGCTCGGCAATCTTCGGACATCTTCAGAAATTTTCGGAAATTCTCGGAAAATGTTCGGGAACGTTCGTCTGGTCTTCGGGACAATTTGAAAAATCTTCGGAAATCTTCGGAAAATCATCAAAAATGCCGTCATCAGTATGTTTATATAATAAAAAGAATATTACACATTAGCTCGAAGATATGAATTTTATGTTCTCGTGGCAAGAGCAATATCTCATTCATTCGCTGCGCTCACTCGTGAGATATTGTTCTTGCCACTCGAACATAAAATTCATATCTTCTCGCCACCGTGTAATATTCTCTATTTAGTACAGGGATTAATTTGTTTATTTACTTAAATGGCCATTGTCTCTCACAAAGTGTCCTGTTGACATTCCTCCTGACAGAAATGTTGGATCTGTAAGTTTTAGGGAGAGAAAAAAGCTTCTTCATGGCCAAGAACAGGTTCTGCAAGTCAGATAGCCAGGTTTTGTCACAAAGACACATTCCTCGTTTATTACATAGTGCTAACACAACATGGGTACCTTGACTCTCTGCTGAATGCTTTACTACAAGAGTAAGGTCCCAGGTAGTGAAACAGCAGCAGACGACAGGTTATAAGCCAGAGCTCAACCATATACAAGCCAGCTTAATAAAGCTGAGATGTTCCCAGACAATATTACTCCCAGGATATTTCTCTGTACCTATCCCTCCTTTGCTTCATCCCTTGTCCTCTCCCTCCCCTCCCTAAATATAACAGTCAGTAAACCTTAAGTTTCCATGGGTTGATAGAACTCCTTTGGGTCTGCCTGTTGTTCCACTTGTGTAGAGAATCATGGCATCTCGTTCATCCCAGCTGTTCTCCTGTTGTTCAATTTCTGTAAGCTTATCACAAGACACCCCTTTCTTATGATTGTTTTCGTTGATATCTCCCAAAAACATCATTTCTACTACATTTTTCCTGACCATTGGTTCCAGTTTCGTGGCATATTTATCAGCACATATCAAAATATTTGCGTTGCAATCTTCAATCGTGTACTCGTACATGCTTGTAGGGTGAGAATTACACAGTGGAACTGCAATACCACCATTTCGCCATATAGCCCATTGAGTAGCAACGTATGAAACATCGTTTGGACAAAGAAAGGCCACACAGCATCCATTAAGATCTCTCCTCCTCGTTTTCTTCATTAAGCCATCGCCAATGCTTTTACTCAGCTGTAAAAGGCGGTCGTAAGAGTGTTGTCCATTTGAGTCAACGATTGCGATCCGTTCACGAAAATCTCTGGCTTTTAGAAATACGACAGAGTTGCGCTCATAATTGTTCCATTGGGAGCTGGAAGAATTTATGAACCTTACGGCGTGTGTTGAAAGGCCATTAGGCGGGTTAAGGTATCTAAATACCCTTAAAATGTTTATGAATTTAGAAGCCATTTCCTCGCTAAAACCTGCGCGCTTCTCCATGCATATATTTTTGGCCAGGTGTGACTTCTGCAATGCGTGGGCCTGGTACCTAATTGTCAAAGTTGAAAAATGACTATAAACTGTTTATTGTGTCAGTTTGAATAACAAAGATAAAAATAATAATGCAAAAAAAAAAAAAAACCTTTTACTCTTGCTGTTGTTCTTCCTATGGGTTTTTATTAACCTCGTCCCCAGGGTTTTCTGTTTAGACCCTTGGGACCTCTCCCCTCTGCAGAGGCTTCCCTATGGGTATCCCAACAAGACATGGCAGAACAATAACCCCGCCCGAGGATCCTGACATCGCTGTTACGATTTGAAAGAGCGATATGGATCTCTAGACGGCCTAGACGTAGCAATTGATGGAGTCACGAAATTCCGCTATTTTCAAACTATCTTCATATTTTTGCCGAAATCATATTAGTTTTGCTAAGCTCTCCCATCTAGAAACGCCCAATCTTGGACCCCTAAGTTAAATAGACGCCCCGGGCGTTTATTAGGTCACAAAAAGAAAGCGCGTACGGGACGATGGGAAGAGGTTCTTCGTGGGCACGCGCGTCACGCGCGTCTTCTTTTTCTTTCTCCCCAGCCTCCCTGCGTCACAAAGGGGCCTCTGCGGAGGAGAGAGCCTTGGGACGGGGTTGTGGGTTTCATAGTTGTCCAAGTGGAAAGCGTTTGAAATAGTGGGAAAGTTAAGGGGGCAATCTGCCGCACCACTTCCCATTCGTACGGTTGCCACGCTATCTTCACAGGAGAGAGTTAACGGCCACGGCACTGTTTGCTTTCCTTATTGCCGTGGACAGCGAAAAGGGGATTTTAATTTGTAAGTTATAGTTGTGACCGCGTTGAAAATGCCTGCTCTTCTTTTTCTTTAAACCTTCGTCCCCGCTCCCCCAGAAAAGCTTTCTTAATTTACAAAACCCCCACTTTAAAACTCAGGGTTCGTACCCTCTTTTGAACAAAAAAAATTAAGGACTTTTCAAGGACTTTCAAGGACACATTTCCCATTTTTCAAGGACTCCATTCGGTGCAAAAAAGAGCCTTGAGTCTATTTTTTTTAGTTCTCCCGCCACATGAGCAATTTTTTCCTGAAGGTCTGTATTTGCTGGGTTGGATAAAGTTAGCTTCGACATTCAAGGACTTTCCAGCACCGAGTGCAATTTTCAAGGACTTTCAAGGTGCGTGCGAACCCTGAAAACTGAATCCAAGTGAAGAACCTTTCAGATCAAAAATGATTTTTTTTGCAAAAAAGATATTAAAACAGAACATGAACAGAACGCTTTTGTGACCAACTTCTTTTCGTTTGGTGATTAAAATTTCGTGGGGCAAGGCGAATGCAAGGCTATGTTTACGGATTCCCGTTAAAAATAACGCATACAAATTGATTGTTGCGGCTTTCTTCCCCGAATAAACCATCTTAAACGACATAGTAGTGGATGACCCAGTGTGGATGCCAGTGTGGATCAGTGTGAACAGCGGTAACTCCAAGGAGAAGAGAAAGCCTGAGGACAAGGTTCAAGAGAGCTCCTCTTACCCCTTTTGCAGGTTAAAAATCAACACAAGCCTACAAACCTTCTTCTTAATTTTTTTTTTCTCTCGCTCTTTAGTTGATTTATTTTATACATGACAAAAAATATATACTCCTCTGATGTTAAAGACTTCGACATTTTACCTTGGGAAAAACTGTTTCCCAATTTTCACCATCCTATTGTTATCACTAATTTACAAAGCCATTGCAAACAGTAAGTTTATTTTCATCTTGCGCAGAAAATTTGTTTGATTTGGGCGGAATAAATTTCGTCCACAGTCATTTACTACGAGCTATCATCTGAATACAAAGCAGCAAAACGAAAAAAAAAATTTTTCATATTAATAACATCTCGATGATCTCTTCTCCTATAAATATTTAGATTATTTTTTCAGTATTTTCCTTTTCTGTTCACAGCATTAATATTTTTCCAATATGATTACTTTTTCTTTTTTCAATCCTGTGAGCCGCTTTTGCTAACGTCAGCATCTGTTGCCAAGGTTCCCATCGCGATCACAGCAGTCTTTTAAATTTTACATCTCAAAACTCGGACGGCCCTGGTAACGACTTCTTTATCTTGAGAAATACAGTCTGGAGAACCGCGTCGGCCTGGTGGCCATCTCCCGAGCAGCTGCAATATGAGAGGAGTGTGTGAGAGTTGCAGATGGGGAGGGTGGGGGAGACAAGCATTACTGTATGGGAAGAGTAGGTGCGCACTCGACAACGTCCTCTGGAGTAAGGGAACTAAAGACGAGGGTTTCATTGAAGGCTTCTCCCTCCCCTCCAATCATCTAGCTCGCGGTTTCACAGTTAAGGCTGCCGAATTTCTTGCATCACGCCCAAGCGAAACCACTAGCTGCGTAGGCTAACTTACGAAATTTTGGACTCATTTCAAATCACTTGCCTAGATCATTTTACAGCAGTAAATACAAATAAACACAAATAATAACACAAATGATGATGATGATGATGATGATTATAAATGAAACATACAATTTCTGAAGTTCACTTTCAGCAATCTCAAACCAGGCCCAGTCTCTCCGTCGTGTCGCTCGACTCATGTTGACCAGGAACTCAACATGAAGTGTGCTGACCTGTTGCCTGGCATCAAGTTCTCCCTCTTCTTTCGCCAACTCATAGAGCTTAGGGCCTAGCGACTTTACTTTGTCCACCAAATGCAAGGCTTGTTGTTCCAGTCTGGTAAAAATTAAAATAAAACGAACAGGCTTGAAAAAGATTGCCCAAGGGTGGGCAATCCAAAACGAATCTCAAGAATGAGTTGCACATTTTTAGACAAGGACAAGTAGAACGCTTACGCGCCTGGTTTTCAATAGCGCATAAGCATAAGCACAAGCACATGTGTAAGCAAGTGAAAACTGGGTCGACATAAGCATATTAAAGCGTAAGCATAAGCACAAGAAAAACGGGCAAGTTCGTTCTTCTTGTGCTTGTGCTTATGCTTATGTCGTAGCTTTGACCTGTGAAAACTGGGTCGACATAAGCACAAGCATACGCACAAGGCGGCGGATCTATCACAGGTCACTAGCCGCGACCAATAATTGAGATCGCCCTTGCTGCAAGCCGTGGGAGATCTGGCTAAGATCAGAGCACTGTTGACACCAGCACTACTTGCCTGTCTTAAAGAGGTGACCGTCTCATAGAGTCTCAAAGAACTGTACCCACAAATTCTGCCAAGGAAACCAACCAGTGCTTGAAGCCGCGGACACATGAAGCTGGGACTAAGCGCATTTGACAACCCGGTCACGATTGGTCAGACGTATTCATAGTTCATTGGCTGAAAAAGTAGGGTGAGTTCTTCTCCAGCAAATTATCATATCGTGAAGTATTGAAAAAAACAAGCGATGGTAAAATTTATTCATGTTGACAACCAAAACGATGCAGTACCGGGTCCAGACCCTGAGATGGGGGGCTGAAAATAAGGGGTTGCCCAGGATACCCGGCCCCCTTCCCTGGATCCGCCAATGCGACGTACTATGACTAACCTTAAACATCTCATCAGGTCTTTTGCAGCTAGCGCTCGAATGAAACCATTGTAGAGGAATTGCAGAGCAGTGAGGTAGTCTTCTGCTTGACAGCACATCCAGTGTGCATCAAGTAAACTGTCAACTAAAAAAATACAGTACACCTATATTTCTTAAGACACTTTTTTTTACTTATGGCGCACCTACGGTATACAGCTACGTCATAGCTTCTGTGCACCCACACCGAGAAGAACCTAAGGAAAGACTGAATGGGCATACTACACGGGTGTGATCTGAGGCGTTGACACGTGGTTTGTGGGTGTGGGGCGGGTCTATAACACGTGGTCTTTTTTGTGAAGAGTTTGTGGTTTGAGGCCCAAATACATGTGAGGTGTGGTATGTGGCTATAACACGTGACGTGTAGCTAATTTTTGACGTAGAGCATGTGGAGAGTAGGTGTTGTTTTAGGCTATGACACGTGATCGGTGGGTGTGGTTAAAATAGTAACACGTGGATTGAGAGTGCAGTTGAAAAAGTAACACGTGGCATGTGGATTAGTTTGGGTGGTAACGCGTGGCGAGTTGATGTGGCTTGAATGAGTGTGGTTTGAGACAATGGTACCTGCACACATGGTTGCCTGCAAGTTGCTATAAACCATGGACACGCGGTAAAACGCCTGGGAAGCTTCGCGCCAGTGCTGTTCTCTAGACGCGGCTACAGCTGTTATCGAGTAGAGAACGATCGACCACGTGGTGCCTCGGAAAACACTCGAGTACCTTAAAAACATAACCGGAGATAGAGAAAGTGTTACACTCTAGTCGACGGTTTTATCAAGAGAAAATCGCAAAGAACTCACCCTGCGGTTTCGTTAAGTAGACTTGCTAAAGAATTATAGTTTTCCTCCACGTCGAAACTAGAACAAAAGAAAAGACTGAGTTCAAGTGACAAGGCCTCTGTCGCTCGCACGGTGCGGTACACGGTGCCAATAACTGCGGTATTCAAACTTCTAACTACTTAGATAAAACAACTATTCCTTAGCGTTACGCGGCATTTGTATAGCCTGAAAAAACAGCCGATGGTTCGCGACGCCACCAAAGTGGTTTCCCCGTGAAAAAAACGCCTGAGGAATGGGCGCATAAATTCAATACTGATGACACAATACTAGCCAGATGTGGGTAGTACTTCTGATTGGCTGAAAATTTGCTTCAACTAATGAGAAGCACTACCCTTATCAGTAACACGTCATCAGTATGGAATTTCTACGCTCGTTCCTCGGAGATCATTTGGCGGGAAAACCAGCGGCAGCGTCGGCAAATGTCGGCTGTTTTCTCAAGCTGTCATTTGCACTGGTACTGAAGACGTAACTGAAGCATTTAAGAATTTATCTATTTCAACAACAACAACAAAAACAACTTCTCTGTTTCTAAGTTTGAGAGAAAGTTTACCTCACATTTGCTTGCTCT